AAAATCTGACTTTGCTACCAAAATAGTGTTTAATATTGACAGTGATCTCTGATTTATTCAGCTCACCAACAAAGATGAAAGAAGGTAAGCAGCCTGTTTCTAAAAATAGCCACAGATTCCCTGTAAGGCACATACAGCTCTGTGTGTAACAGTGAAATCCCCATTAGTGTGTTGCTAGGGAGAAGGGAGAATTTCTGCGGGAAGACTCTATTGTCTCAAAGATACCAAGTGTTGTTGCTAAGCAACTCGTCGACCAGGTCAATAATACAGTGGATGGTTGTATTCGCTGGGGCTTTGGAAGTGATTTTCTGTTTCATCTATTTAAAATGTAACACTGCCAGAGCTGTGGGAACACTTTGCCTCTCAGTGTGTTTATCGAAGAGTCGTGATGGGCTGTTCCCCTCCTGATGAGATTTTGAGATAGTGGCATAAAACATCCCTGATTTGATCAAAAACTATTCTGATCAAAAGTGCAACTTCACAGAGGAGGCAACAGAAAAAGAAAGATAACAGAAGCACATTTCCTTTTTTTATAAGGATTTTTGTTTTCATTCAAATGCAAATAGGAAGAAATTAATCAAATTCCTACATAATGATTATGTGTAAAATTGTGAAATTGTTCTAGACGCCTTTTTTTGGTGTTGATGTTCCATATTGAATCTTATTTCTCAGAAGAGAATTTGCTAGGGAAGTCAAACCACTGAATTATTCCTTATGCTATTTCTGGATTGTCTCGTCACACATGTTAATTACAAAGACTTGCCTGTACCCATTCTCACACTACACAGTAATGCGTAGGAACAGTGTTAGGGAGGGCTGTATTGAAAATAACATGCTTAATAGTTGACTGTGAACTCTGCTGTCTTTCCTCTGGTGATGTACAAACCTAAGATAAATGCTTATCACATAATGCTGCTGAGCACTGATGTCTTTTCTGTGTAGATGGTAGCATCTGTTGCTACACAAATGTGCTTTTAAGTTGGCTCAGGTCCCACTTCAATCGTATTAATGGGGTTTAGAAGACTAAAATATTTTTATTAGCTATTCAGTGCCCATCAGCACAGATGTACACCAGGACAGCTTTGTGTCCGGGTTTCAGTGTGTGACCTAACTTAGATCTTTTACAGGACAGAACTATAAAGTGTCCAGTGTTAGCTTGAATGAGGGGATAAAGGGAGTCGTGCTGCGAGGCGGCATTCTGCCCTCTCTGTCCTTTCCACCTCTGGAGGTGTGCTGTGGGGTGTGCCACATGCTGTCTGGGGCTGAGCCCTGTTGTGCAGCTCACATGTATTATTTATACAAAGTATGAATAGTTCACAAACACAGGGGACTCCGGGAAAACATTGGATTTTGGAGACCTTTTGAAAGCTTTGATGGTGAAGGGAGTGTTGTTGTTGCTTGAAATAAATGGACTAAGTGTGATCTGAATGTGTAAACCTGGTCATCACGGCAAAGAAGAGATTGGAAATGTGTTAGCTCATAAACTGGTTACAGTAGTTTGAATCTACCAATAATTTTATTCCCTGTTTGAAATAGATTCTTTTCCTTCCTTAAAGAAAGGTCCCTTTTACGTGACTAGAAATAAAAGGAACGGGTGCAATAACTTGGGTAATGTGACTGTGCCAGTAGCCCAGAGTAGATCAGGAGGAGGTTGGGGATGCCGTGAGTGGGAGCCAGTTAGGCCCCGCCTCCTGCAAATTATGCATGTAGTAACCAGGGAGACTGGGGGAGTCGCGCCCCAGCAGCCCATCACGACCCAGTTCAAAAGCGCTAGTAGTCAGCTAGATCGGCGAATTGTAGAAAAGAGGAGTGCCTGTGCTGCTGCTGCTGCTGCTGCTGCTGCTGCGGTGTACAGTAAACGCAATACGGCAGCTGCGCCTGAGATGCAGAGACTTGAAATCGAAAAATAATTTGGTGGAGAATTCTCAACCAGGAGAATCGCGCTTCTTTGACTATTCCAGATGTGGGGAGCGCCTCTGCCCAAGCATCACAGCCGCGGTTTGGATGCTAGATGGAGACATAGGGGATTCCTTTCGAGAACGCGCACAGTGAAGAAACTACAGCCGGTTTAAAGAGGATAGGACAGGGACAGCTTCAGTCAACATGGTTCAAAACGTGGTCTTGGTGTTTCTCCGCAGGAGGCTGAGCCAGAGACCAAATGTGGAGGAGCTGGAGAGTCGAAACATCCTGAAACGTAAGTCCAAACACTCATGTTCCCAAACTACCGCCTCTTCACCTGAATACTAATATTTACAAATTAAAAAAAAAAAAAAAATACATGCAAAAGCACAACTCAAACACACTTATAACACGGCAAACTGATGCATTAGTGATGGCACAGATTGCCCAGTGTAGTACATTATTCAGAAGCAAAAGAACGCATGACTGCACACTCCCACTCTTCACTGTGAAACCTGTTAAAGGAGATTCTCGGCATGATAAACTTGCGGTGGCCTACATTTATTCATTTATTTATTTATTTATTTTTTACAGATTTTACATCAGTGTAATTGCACAATCAGTGTTGGGTTTATGCCCATTAAGTGAAATAACACCCTGTAATGTGTAATGTTTTTTAAACAATGGTCACTTGCTGATATAGTATGGATTTCTAATACGGTTGTTTTCTTTTTTCCAGAGAGAAATGACCAGACAGAGCAAGAGGAGAGGAGAGAGATCAAACAGCGGCTTAACAGAAAGGTACAAAACTGTGATTGAATTTTTTTTCCTTGTTTGTCAACCTCATGAACATGGCAGGCATCAAACACATGGAGACCACTCTGCTTAACCCAAAGTTAACAGCAGCCAGCTATAAATGTTTGTCCCATTTCTTGTGTGTTCAAGCTCAACCAGCGACCCACAGTAGACGAACTTCGAGACAGAAAGATTCTGATCCGCTTCAGTGACTATGTGGAGGTGGCCAAAGCTCAGGACTATGACAGGAGAGCAGACAAGCCCTGGACTCGGCTCTCAGCAGCAGACAAGGTGGGTGTTTGTGTGGAACACAGACAAAATAACATTTTATTTATTTTTAATAAAAGAAATGTATGAGTTTTTCATTTTTTCTGACCTGCCGCATATCTCTTGGTTTTATTACCAAAACATTCACTATTTAGGCCAGATCTATGACCTACTGCTCATCAAGACTATCAGCATCCCATGTTGCTGTTATCAGCTTATCCAAATCTCCTGTTTCATATTTTCTCCTCCTGCTGTCACTTTGCTGTTCAAAGGTTACAGCACACCAGTGGCTCAGGATGCACTTAGGGATGCACTAATGCTGTTTTTCCTCTTCCCCGCAGGCTGCAATCCGAAAAGAGCTGAACGAGTTCAAAAGCACCGAGATGGAAGTGCACGCCTCAAGCAAACACCTAACGAGGTTGGTATTCTGAGGTGTATATCTGTGTGTAGTATGTGTTTGGGCGTGCATGTGTTCTATTCTGGGCTGCAGCAGTCTAAATTTAGCTGTCATTGCTCATCCACGGAGCACCAAGGAGCTAAAGATAGATGGGAGTGCTTCTGAATGTGGGGGTAGGGGAGGTTGTCCTCTGGAACTCGTATTGCCAGGCACACAGAAATGATGAAATGCCACCGTGTCCTTGGCTAAGCTTGTTTGGAAAGCAGGGGTCCCTGTTGTGAGTTGTAACAGTGACCCAGTGGGAGGATGGAGATGGAGTACATGTCCAGCCCATCAGCAGATTTAATGACTCCGCTAAAAATAGCCCCACAGAACTGATTAATAGCGTTAATCATAGCTTGGTATGACGACAAAGGCACTTTCTGCTCTCACAATTTGTACTGCTCCCCTTAACACGTGCTTTCTCCGCGTGTTTGTCTCTCCAGGTTCCACCGGCCATGAAAGTGGGGAGTTTCTTCTGTGAAGAAATGCTGAGCTTAGAAATTTTCTGAAGCTGCTACAAGCTGCTCAGCGGTTACAGTTCAAAGAACCTGAAGCCTTTTCGTCTTCAGCGTGTCTTAAACATTCTTCCAGCACCCTTGACTATCATATCATCAGTATGAGGGCATGGGTGTGGGAGAGAAGATGACGGTAATGTTTGCGGCAGTGTGTCCTGGAGACTACTGGACGTCGCCACATTGAAGCTGGCTGGTGGGAGAGGACTTTGGTGGAGCCTCTGACTCACAGGACAAGAGCAGAGGAAAAAACAATCTTGTCATTCAGTCAGTGTTGTTTTTTTTTGTACTATTTCATGGACTCCTTTGACAAGGCGGTGTGAATCCGTGTAGTGGGAAGAAGTTGTGCATGTGACCAGCTTCACCTTTTCTTAACTGATGAGTAATGTGTCACTTGGACTGGGTCAAGACTGTGCAGTCTGGGGGAGGTGGTATTGGGGATGAATTTGATATTAACTGTACATACAGTATGTCAATCTGAATGGGACCGTCAATGTCTTCACTGAAAAGAGAAATACCTTTGTAAGCACTACTTGTCTTCAAAATACAAGGTCTTTTTTTAAGAATGGCTTGTCTCATTTTTTAAACAATTTTATTTTCAATGAAGAATCAGGTTGAAGAGGTATTTAAAAACAACTGATGGATTTAACATTTTGAATGTTTAGTTGGATTTTTTTTTCAATATTTAACTAAACTACACAAATAAATCTGGAATTTGTATTAAAAATATCACAGAGTCAAGACAATGAAATACATTGAAAAGGATTATTACCTGGGCTTACTTTCACAGAACACTTAAAAATGACTGATCTGTAATTTGTAAATCAAATAATATCAAATTATAAATATCAGATTAACATAACATTTCTTATAAAAACAATCATATAGCAACAACACTTCTATGTCAGAATTAACAAAAACACCCACAATACACCAACATTAAAAGCAGAACCTGGAAACATTAACACCTCAGCCAAAAACGTTCACATGAAATCAGCATAGCTCAACTACAGAGCACAGTGTGGATCATGTGGTGTAATATGCAACCTTGTTTACAGTGTAGAGGCCTGACTTAAAACCTGGCTCCATCAGGGAAAAAACAAAGCATGCAGCCCTCTCTTCACGCTCTGTATCTCTCCGTCTTGCTACAAAAGGTACACAAACACAAAGACCCATTCAGGAAAGACAATTCAGTTCAAACCTTACACAACACCATCTGAGTCATAAAGTCTCTCAAGACTGTATGTTATGTACTGGCTTTCAATGGAGCATTGTTCTGCTGACAGAGTGAAGATCACAAAATGAAAGACAGATAAAAAGCCAGTCTAATGGTTCAGGTCAAATCCATCCAACCTGTGTCGTGTGGACTCACCATCTCACTGAGGAGTCTGTCCTGGACTGACTTCATATCTTTTCTTATCAGGCACATCTGAAAACAGCAGGCAGAGAAGCAGGGTTTTAGGGGTGGGAACATAGAATATGACAGTCAGGACAAGCAGGGGACGAGCTGACACATGAGAGAATGACATAAGCAAAATGTTGTAAAGGCCACTCAGTGAAAAATGATTGGACAGAAGGGTTGATATGCAGAGGTGAGATGTACTATTTAAAAAAACACAGATGAACTGTGAATGAATATTTCTTCTATTGTCTTCAAAGCTACATGAGCTCTGGATTTATGAAGTTAATTAAAGACTTTAGCAACACAGTGAAGTGCATGTTAGACATCAGCTGTTAAAGCTTGAGCATCAGACCTTGGATGTGAATATTCTCTGCTCATACTCCAAGCTGTGACACACGTTACTATGGAGGGCTTTCTTCAGGGTCTCATTTCTGGAGGGAAGGAGACAGACAATCACACAGCCAAATGAGGCAGAGCTTCAGAAGGCGGGAGAACACACAATGTAAACGTAAAGGAAATATACAGTGCGTTAAAGGAGACCACAGGAAACCCTGAAAAACACTTGTGCAGTATTTCTTAAAAAGTGAATATATGTTTTACCTGACAGTACATTACAGTACATAGTCAGTAAAATGGTTTAACCGAAGTGGCTTAATTTGAAGTTGAATTTCATTTGCTTTTAGTGGTATGTCTCAACGATATAAAAGGAGTCAACCACTGAACCCCTTCACTGAATCTTACTTATTCGGAATCAAACATATTTCTAACATTGTCTTGTGAAGCAGAAAGCCTATGATGAAGTCTTCAACTCTGGGAAAGCATGGATCTGATCAGGACTGAAAAATAAATTCTCCTGTTATGGGCATTGATGTGACCATAGAATCAGTCAAGATTGAACTACCCAGAAACATGACACAGAACTGAAGACCACTGACAAAATATGGTCAAATTCACTTACTGTAATTATGTCACATACAATCTCTGCTGTATGGCAGTGTGGACAAAAAGAAGCCACAGCAAAGAAGAAGAAAAAAGATCTAGTACCAAAATTGTGAGTTTTCAAAAAATGACACAAGCAGCCTGACTGAGGAAAAAGCGGGTTCTGACTGAATAAAGTGCTGTCAGTGAGAAGGGGAAGCACACCCATCTAAAACCATCACTTCTCTGAATCATGCAGGCAGAATCATCATTTACATGGTGCTTTTTTTAAGGACAGAGGTAACAATTAATGGGGTCAATACAAAAACTGTATTTTTTTTTTAAGCAAAGGAGGGATTACTGGGTTCTCTTGATCTTGTCAAGTGAAGAGATAATGTTGAAATCCTAATCTTATGACCAGCCACTTATGAAAAGACACGTTAATTAAAGCACGAAGAGAGTTGAGGCATGTTGATAAATTTAGGTGCTTTGTATTAACACAAAACTTGAGTACCACATTCATTTTTAAAAGCCAGCATGACCTTATGACTGTATAATTTTTTCATACTCATTAACTTGGACTGGGCATTCTAGCCAGAACAGCTCTTTACAATCAGCCCAGCAGTGGATAATAATAGGGGAATGCTTGCTAAATAAACATCAGTGAACTCAGCTTAGTCATATGAAGAAGAACTAGCCAAAAACTAGCTTGTGCTGTAGGGTGCATATCTAGCTTATGATGATTAGCCTGAGGAAAAATGTCTTTTCCTGTCAAGCATTTTAATCCATTTTTCACAGAATAAACAAGTGTATTATTCAACCTTTTACAGAGTATTTGGGTTTACGCCTGTGGCAACTGCATTGATCCAACTGTGGCAGGAAAATAGCATCAAACTAACAACATGGCTCTTTCAGTGCTCACACAAACACAAACACAAAGTCCTAAATTTCACCTCTTGGTTCCTTGCTCCTGGTAAGACCGGAAAGCCACAGTCTGTTTTTTCCAGTGAATCTGTGAAAGAACAGAGACAAAACACTGATCAGACACTGGTCAAATCAACATCAACAACACGTTGTATTTTGTAACTTCATATTTTGTTTTAACAATATTAATTTCCACATTCTCTCCAAACTGTTACACAGGTAGTCTGTGTGTGCATAAGAGATGGAAAGAAAGCGTGACCTACAGTCAGGTCTTTCTCCATTCTTTTCAGAACAGTGTCATCCTGCTCCAGTTTGTCGATTTCTTGCAAGAGGGCCTTCTGAACCTGTGCAAGCCTCTGAGTCCTGTACAGAGCAGAGAGAATTAACCAGTGAAATGTAAATCTAAAAGTAAAAGCAAAAACAAGACTAGGTCAAAATATAGTATGTGGTTGAACCGCCTATGGTCAAATCAGTATTTTATAACTGTGACATCATCTGACAAAATCACCGAACACATAAATTAAAGACAAAGACTTACTTATAAAATGATCACTCAGAGAGAAAGTTAGAAGAGAAAGACTCTTTTTCTTTTTTTCCTTTATTTCAGTCATAGTGAGAGAGAGATGGAAAAAATTGGAGCGAGAGAGAGAGAAAGAGGACGACCTGCAGCAAAGGGCCCCAGCCTGGACTTGAACCTGGGCCGGCAGGGCAAGGACTAGCTCAAATGACATGAATTCTACCAGATGAACCACCGGGGCCTGAGACAGACTATATTTCTTATTTTGTCTCTCACACAGCTTACAGCCTCCATCTGGGATCCACAATAGTTTGATCTGTAGAGTTGGTCAGAGCGGTTAGAACGGAGCCTCGGTAGCAATGACTTCTCTCTCTGTCTCTCTGTCTCTCTGTCTCCCTCTCTCCTTCCACCTCTGTTCAGTGTGTCTTATTTTATTTTATTCCTCTGCCTCCTTTAGTAATAATGATACATGTTATGAAAGTAGTTTATTTGCTGTAATGGAGGCGAGGCTTGGTGTATTGGAAGTGCTCCTCCACCTGCATTTCCCGAGCAGCTGGGAAACCAGAGTGGCTCGATAGACTACGACTCCGCTAACCAGTGTTAATACCACCACTCAGTCAGTCGTTCAGTTAGTCGTTCAGTTAGTCAGTCAGTCAATCAGTCAGTAAGCAATTACAGGGTTGGCCCTGCTGTTGCAGTTCAGCCAAAAAAATAAAGTAATAGTGCATGTTTTCAGATTTGCAGGAAGGCAGAATGTGAATATACAAGTACTTATTTACTAACAGAGTAAACTTCGAACTACTTTAAGAAAATTAACACTGATTGTTGATTGTACAGTTGTCTTCTCTAAGAAACAAATTGGCGGACAACCAGCCAACAAATCAAGCTGTACTGTATCTTGATGGTATAAAGTATCAAATTTTCTCATTCACAATTAGCAAATGAGACCTGTGGATGGAAAAAAATGGCTTTATGTTTTGTTTGCAACACTAATTACATACTAACTGACCTGTATTTGGTGACTTGCATGTTGAGAGAGGAGACATGTTGCTGGACGGTTTTCAAGGACTGTTTGTTGTAAAACTCCATCGTCTTGTAACGATTCTGAATACAAACAAAGATAATGGTTAAACAAGGTCATCATTTAACAACATTTCAGTGATTCGGGATTATGAAAAATAGAGGTGTGCTGTATTCAACACAAGTTGTGAGAATATATTCAGTAAAAAGAAAATATTCACTGCTTTCTCAAACACACATGGCCAATGTGCCAAAAACATAACACATCACCACACATTCAGTGGTGTTAAGAACCATTTTGGGGAAAAAGGGGGACTACATAATATAGTGTGACAGTAATGTAGGTTGTGCTGCATATTCTCTTGCTCTTTTGACTATATAAATGTGTGTCCAACCTGGAACTTCTTCTTTAGGTCAGAGCTGAATTGCTGGCACAGGTCACTCGGGTTTAAGTCAGATCCTGGCAACTCCAAATCCTCATCCATGTCCATGTCTCCACCCCTCACTTCAGCCTCCCAGTGACTGGAGCTCACCGTGTGGGAAGAAGACATGACCTGGCTCACCTCACCTACAGCAGACACTTCAGCAACTGAGGACAACAGACACATCCACTAATACGTTAGGAAAGACTACCTCAGAGTTCTGGGTAAACACCAAAAAACTTTAGATTTTACAGGTTGGAAATTTTGCTCTTCCAAAACAAAACAAAAAAAGATTTGAAAACAAACATTTTCACTGCATTTGTAATAAGACCAATCAAAAATGTTTTAGCTAAACTACAAGAAACAGTTTGTTGTTGGTATGCTCTTTGTACATAATAATACCATAACATAATATATAAACTAGAATTAACACCTCGTGGTTATATGCCTGCACCAAACAGTCAAGTTGCCGTTTACATCCATGTTTGCCCAGTCATATATGATATATGATAGTGAAGACTTTGAAGGAATTGAATAAAAAAAACACTATGATGTCACAGTCAAGTTGACATTTGACCTTTTGCATTGGCATGTGCCAAATTTAAAGAAATTTCCTTATTGTGTTCCTGAGATGTCACGTTCACGAGAATGGGATGGACAGACAGACGGACAAATGGACAACCCGAAAACATAATGCCACTGGCCAGGTTGTCGCTGGTGCTGAGTCATAACCTGCTAGCCCCTGTGTTAATTGGTAAAACGGTCCGTCAGGTCTCATCTCTGGGTTTGTGCTCCTGTAAAGGCGTTGAAGCCTCCATGTGTTTTAAAAACTTATTTTGAAGCTCCGCTCACTCTTCCATGCCCATGTGCAGCGTAGCTGCGGTGTTGCTGCTTTAACAGCATCGTTCTGGATGTTAATGAATCTGGCTGACCTTATAACTGACTCAATTCACCACTAATTACTACAAGCAACATGTCTTACAGGACTTGAACAACTTCCTTGGCTTCATCCGAGGAGAACGCTGTCCTCTCATCTTGCTTTCCTTCCTATCTTCCTTCTCATCTTCCTCGGACTCACTGGTTGAGGTGATGTGGCGCTTGCGACTGGGTCCTGTAGCAAGAACCACAAGTTACAATACATTAGTCCATTATATGACTGTTTCATAACAAAGGGACTCCCTCTAAAACATATCAGTGATTTGACCATGGAGCCTTATTTGGGAATTTGTGCTCATAATCACTATTTCTTTAGATATATTTTTGTACTTCATTGTAAACTTGTTTGGATGTAAATGGAATCTAGCTCTGGGGTTGGCTGTACAAACTGGGAAACCCAGTTTATACCTGGTAAGGACCAAGCTGAGCAATAAAGGTTTTTTACCTGACATATGAAGCTGCACAGGCTTTACGTCTCTGTCTGAAGATGGTGTTTTCTGTCAGGATGGACAGTAATTCATTAGTCATTTGTAACTCAGTAACTCATCCATCCATCCATCCATCCATCCACCCATCCAAGGATTATCATACAATGATAAAAAATTAAGTGTAGTAAAGCCCCCCTACCTCTGTTTTATGAGACACAGTCAAAGCAGTACTGGGGCAGTCCTTAACTCTGCGGCTGAGCACGGATGACTTAGTGGATGATTGGCTCAGTGAAACCTGGGATACTGAAGACACTTTACTAAAGCCATAAAGGTGGTCATGGTTGATAGTGTCTTCAGGGAATGGAGATTGAGGAGGAGAAGGCATGGACTGCTTGTCGAGATCAAGGAGTGTGGATGTCAACAGGGGCAGGGACAGAGACAAAGGAGATCGAGGTGCTGGAGATAGATGCTGCTGAACTGGACTTATCTGGAAAGTGATGAAAAAGTGATGGACAAGAAGAAGTATGGCAACTCATTTAGTAGTTATCTAATCACCATTTATGTCATGGATTAGTGACAGTAAAATGATAAAGACATTTTCCACAATGCATTAGGGGGCACAGATGAAGTGTTGCAGCGCTATTATCTGTTCTGCATGGAGTGAAAAAGGTCATTTCAATCATGCTACTTAATCTTTCAGAACATCATATGTAATTCCAACATTTTCTGCATAAATACAAGATGTTTTAGGGAAATGTATTAGGGAAAGTTGAATTTCTCAAATGGACACTTCAGACTTAAGGGTTCCCTACATTCACCCGAATTCATTTTAACCCTGACAACTGTCAGCAGTTATGGGTGGCGATTAAAAACTACTTTAAAAGAGAACCTCAAACCTCAAAAATGGTTGCAGAGGGAGGGAAGTGGTACTTCTTCACTTTCTCTGCCCGCATTTTCTCAGCTGGTCTGGGAATTTCAAATAGCAATGCTCAGGTCACAGACCTACTTCCTGAAGTCCTAGGTTGCTGTTTATGAAGGCCTTAAGTCATTTAGTAATTCTCACATGACTAACGAGTGGCGTCAATGACCTCCATGTAGTGTAAAGGTGAGTGTTTCACTCAAACATGTTAAATACCAGGGGACTCATCACAACTTATTAGATTTAAGTTCAGCTGCAATTGACAACCATAACATATTCTAGACTATACTGCCCATATATACAGCACATCATCGGATCATTGCGGTAAAAAGGAGCAGGTGGTACATGCTACATTAAAACTCTGAATGTGACCCTAACCCTTGACTCAGAATCAACAAGAACTAGTTAAGACGTCAGTAAGGTGCTGTTTTACCTCTGCTGCACTCAGTCCAATGGGAGGATGGGGTGCAGGGGTTTGACCTCTCAGTGAAGAGAGAGACAGGGCAGACTGGATGGACTGAGTCTTGGATGTGCTGAACTTCTTTTCTGCACTGTAGGAAGAGGAGGGCTTGAAGTTTCCTTTACTGCTGACTGTAGAGTGAGGTTTGGGTAGCAGCAGGATTGGTGAGGGGGTGTCCTGGCAGGCAGAGTCAGGGGAGGCAGGGAGTGGGGATCCCCGCGGGGTGAGGAGAGGGGAGCAGGTCAAACCCAAGATTGGGGCTGACCTCTCGGCAGCTGTGAGGGTCCAAAATAAGCACAGATGTTCAAACAGCTGGCCTCAGAAGTTGGACAGAGAGTAAAAGGTCAATATACATACATGGTTTCAACATATCAATTTACAGTTAAGAGGTTAGAGAGCAATAGGGTCATTTATGTAAGTGTTTTAAAACTGCATAAATGTGATCTGAGTGAAAATGCATCTGGTGCAACCGCAGAATAATACACCAAATGTTTTATTCTTTACAGGAGTTAATATAAATGTAATACAGACACTGAACTGGCCAAATAAAAATGGATGCAACAATTCGGGTTTAAGGTGAATATTTTTTTGTACACATGTCCATTTCAGGTAGGACAAATTTGAATCCTCTTTCAGGTCTTCTAAATAAAAGTGATTAGTGATTTTTTTTTTACAACAGGCCCCCATTTTTCCAGCCACAAGCAGACTTTAATAAGTTGAATTTGGTCCTCCATGTGACTAAATAATCTCCAAAGGTAGGTGCTCTCATTCACTCTTGAGCCAGTTGATTACACAGGAAATGTTGCTAAAAAGCAAACACTAACTCACTATACAATCTACTATACTTTAGTGGAATCAAAGCAAAAGCAATATTTGTCAATTACTGCAAACTATTTATGCCAGCAAAGTGTCAAAAAGGCTAAGTAATACATATAGGAATTAATAAACCATTGGACACACCATGAAACATGTAATCGACATTAGCTTATGTCAAAGGAGTCAAATGACTGTTATCTAACTCTGATGCTGGTGAGAAGCTTTCCACAGTCTTACATCTCATCTTCTCGACGAAAGGAGGCGACGGAGAGAACGAGGTCTGGCGGGCTGCCCAAGAATCCTTCAATGCATTCATCTCTTCTAGGACAGGGATGACATTTTTCTTATGTAACTTCGAAGTTTCTTGAAGAACATTCTCAGGCCTCTGCTGCTGAAAAACATAAAAGAATTTCTGTTAAATATATGATGATCATCAAGCACAATACCCATTCAGGCAAAAAAGGCATGTGCACGTTCAAGACCATGTCTTATTTCCAGCTTAATAAAGCTACAACATAACATTTTGGTGTAGGACTACATACATTCTTTCATATGTTTGAATGACTATGTCAACATACATGCATACACATCTGATGTAAAAATGTTATATGAAGATCAAATGATGCTCATTAGCACTATTACTAACTAGGATCCACTAAAATGTGAATCTATATCACTTTGCAGAATTTAAATAAAATTTTCAAAATTGGATCATTTACAGACAATCATCACAATAAACCTATTATCATCAAATGTGGTTCGGAACCTCTGAACAAGTTTTCTCACTCTTCCCCCCTGCTGGTCTACAAAATATTTCTGTTGGCAGACAAACCAAAATGTAATGGGATATTGCTGCAACATTCTAATGTTACGATAACTATGATGTTGAAATGAATCCCAGTGACCACATTCCAAAATGATATTACTATCCATTCACACTGCAAATAACAAAATCAACAACTAACCAGAAATGTTCTTCAGACCTCAGAAAGGTAAACTGACACATTGTGTGGACTGTCAACAAGCTTTACAGCTGAGAAAAATTGCCTGTGACTTAACTTCTCTTTGCTGTTGCCCGCCAAAAGCCAATTTAATTTCCAACCCATGTTGTTTTCCTGCCAATTTGAGTTTGTTTCAAAAACATTAGCTCCAACAGCAGTATATGATGCTTGGAAAACAACTGAAACCATGTGTGGAGTTTACTGTGGCTCTGATGTAGTTGTTTTCACATTTTTGTAATTTTTTGAAGGATGCTTCCTAATACATGCTTCATACCTAGATTTCTTGCCTCATTTACAATTATACAATATTACAAATGTCAATACCAAAATCAGATAAAAACAAATGATCTGCCAGTTTGGAATATTGTAGTTGTATAGCCCCACCATAAAAAAAGCAATCAGAGCTTCTGATCTGTCAGAATAGAGGAACTTGCTAACTCAGTTGATCACAGTATGAGCATGCGGTGACGTGGATGGATGTTTTCTAGCAAATTCAGACATACAGATGCTTCATGGCATGCAGAATGGATGATTGTTTAATCAGGATAACATGAAATATAAGCACTATGACCTCTACCTTAGAAGTGGATGGCTGTTCTGACACCGACACTGACTGTGACTCTCTGCTATGATGGTTGCTCTCTGGTTTCATATATCTTTTGGTTGGCTGCTTGCTCACAGGCTGTTTCTTCATTGTTTGAGCAGCCTCATGAGTTTTCTTAGTATTCTTCAGATAATCCGGCTATTAAGGGATAAAGAAAGTATGATTCATTCTATTTGAAACATCATTTTAATTAACGTCTTTGTTACTAATATTCCATAAAAATATAATTTGCTGGACTTCTGCACCAAGCAACTCATATTATGTGTAATTCAACAAAACTCAAAAATGGTAAATGGTATGGGGAGATCCACATTACTAAATAATTCAGAGAGATAACGAAGATAAAACCTAGTCTCATTGTCATGTGCATACACAATAAGAACAATAAATATGTTATTTGTTCAGCAGATATAAAGGGAGGTCGTTTGCCTTGGGAACAACAGGCGTAGCTGATTCTGACTGGCTGTCATCTGTATCTGGCTCCCTGTAGCTCTTGGTAGAGGTGTGTACAGCTCTCTTGGGCCTCCCGCCTGCTGCATGTGGTCTGCTGGGTGCTGCTGCTGGCTTCACTGTCTTCTTTGGCTGCACCACTCTCTCCTTCACATTGTGCTTCTTCTGTTTAAACAACAATGACACACTGTGGCTGACTGTGATAGTGCATTACAGCCTTAAAGCACATTATTTACATAAAACAATCTTGCCTTACTTTATTGGGTTTGGTATTGCCCTTTACATGTTTTGGGGAGGGTGGTGGTAAATCTGCGATATCATCTGTAATGACACAAATACATTCTGTTTATGGAAACATTTTAGTCTTTACATAATTGTATCAACATCCAGTCTTAATGTGATGAGTCTTAGATTGAAAGCATGAATGTGTGGCAAAGTGTGGCTTTAAGGGCTTACATGAAGTATGAGGTGACTCAGCTTTAGGCTTGATGGGTGCCTGCCTTGAGTATTTGGTAACTTTGGGTTTGGGTTTCCTGCTCGACTCCCTCAGCCAGCTGACTTCTGTCATGGCATAGTCTGTATCTGTGTCACTGAACAAATGCTTTTTCACATACCGCTTCTCCTGTAACACAAAAGGTAGTGGGAGATAGGGACGTAGACAGATTGAAAGAGAGAGAGAGAGAAGAGTGAGGGAGATGCTTTCCTGGCCAGACCATGGTGCATTTCAAGTGACTGCCGCATAATTCTTGCTCATATAATAAGTGTAAGCCATAACTTTTGAGTGATAAATTTCCTGATTTTGGAAGATTTGTGCTTTCCTCTTTCCTTCTTGTTTCTGACAAGAGTAAAAGTTCAAATGCAACAAGAATACACACATCTACACAGACTGAGTCTCTACTAGCTTCAACTTTTAATATCTATAAGAAAACACTAAGTATAATGAAAGTTTACTTTTGTCATAGGTTGTCCTTTCTCGGTTGTGTTGTGGAGTCCTGAGGACTCATGGATGCCGCTGTCAAATAACATGTGGAATATGAAATTAGAGAGATTTTAATAAAAAAATCTTGACAGAATGTTACAGTTTTAAGATCTGCATTTTTTGACAAATTACCCCACAGGACATTCTCAACTGTAAGACCTACCTGTTCGATATGGAAGAAGTGTTAGGGAAGGCTTTATCCTTTCCCTAAAGAGCAATAAATAAGAATTTAAAAAACACAGTGGCATACCAAGTACTCCTGTATATTACATTCAAATATATAGAATAACTAACACTAGCAATATTTACCCCAATACTCAATGATGCTTCAGTGTTGAATGCAAAAATATCCTTTCTGCTCAACAGGAAAAAAAAGGCTTTACATGCATTCTAAAAGCCACTGAAATATTCAAATGTACCTCAATCTTTTAATTGAACTGTATTACCTCTGGCCTGAAGATTTTGATGCTGTTTTACTGTGGGATTTCATTAGGCTTACAGATGTATGAGGTACGTCCCTCTATAGTAGATAAAGATACTCTTTAGTAACTCAAGCTGGAGAAAAGTAACTTTAAGTTTCTCCAAACTATAAATCATAATGATCACTTACTTTGGCAGTTGATAACCAGCTCATATTGAAGAGTGGCCTATAATAAAAACACAAATGGTAACTAAGTGGCACAATTATGCAAGCAATGACATTTGTTCATTTACTGCAGTACAACATAATGTAGCCCTACAACCATCAGTGTGCATACTTGTTGATATGAAGAGGAGTCCAGCTCTGATTGATGTTGTTAATCTCATAATGGCTAGAGATGAGCTTCACCATGCTTTCTGCAACCTTTGCATCGCTCTGAGCAGGGACAATAGAAGGTATTAGAATCACAATATACATTACAAACCTTTGCATGGAAGGTCAGCTGCTTAAATTTTATAGATGTCATACCTTCTCTTTGCTTGAAAGGGCCCTGTTAGTTTGAGCCTTAACGTTGGGTTGTATTTTCTCCTGCAGAGCCACGGTTGTGGGAGCCTTGACTGGAGCTTTGTTTAGATTAACATCTGCTTTCAGTGACATCCGGCCTTTGCTATTCCCTTTGGCCAAGCCATTTCTCTGGGCCTGCTGCTTGTTGGAAGTACCCAAAGTAGAAGCACACTGGTCTGCGGAGCCTCTGCCTTTTGAGTCCCCTCTGGTACCAGACATTTTTCTCTGGGTTGCAGCTGGCTCTTGAGGTGCATGATCTTGGTTCTTCTCAATGAGGACCTGCTGCAGGCGCTGGGTGAGTTCAGTATGGAGCTGCTTATGGTTGATAGGGCCTGAGCCTGGAACTGACAATCTCAGTGCTAAGGTTGGGTGCTCCTGCTGTTGTGCCGAGTTAGAATGAGACTCTAAAAGACAAAAAATATGAATTTGAAAAAAAAAAAAGTTTAACAACATTGAATTTTTACCTGGATAGGTAAAAGATACTAGATATTGATGTGCATAATATTAAGTGATGTCTGGTGAATTGGTGAAGATATTTTAAGACTTCTTTGCTTACCAGGTCTTGACACAGTATTTATTTTCTGTGTGGGCATTGTTACCATTTCAGACACTGACAGTTTGTTCCAGTTAAAAGACCTGCAATTTGAACACATAAACATGTTTAAATATACAATCTATATACATCTACTGTATAAACACAAATGCATACAACATTACCAATCAGAGCATTGATGGTAATAGATCTGCAAAGAGTGTGGTGGTTCTCCACAGTGCTTACATGTTTTTCACAGGTCTGGGTTGGGTGTCAGGCACAAAATTATCCTCTGAAAGTAAAAAGATCAAGGTTTTGTACAAGACTCTCTGAAAAAAAATGGTGTGGTTGTATTTCTGGGTTAAGCTAAACAATACAATACCCAGAGGCTGCTCTTCTCCCTGTCCAGCTAGAACCATATCTACTGCTTTTGCCAGCGGTATATTCTGTAGAACAAGCAGACGCAACAAATGTAAGTGGATGATAGAGTTTGTGTAAATACAACTTTCCTTCCAATGAAATAATATGTAAAAGACTGTCAGGCCAAATAATACCAGATTTGCCTGACAGCTGCAAGAGAAATCCTGTCTGGCGCTGGTTGTGACCAGTAGCATCAAAAATTTGGGCTAGAGTTATTATCTTAATAGTTGTACATGTAACTACTAAGAAGAGTAAAAACCAATATTACTTTGCATAAGTCAATTGTATCACACCCTCATATCCTGAAAACAGTTTAGAAAGATTGTGCAGAAGTAGACAACATATACTACCTTAACTTTATTTAAAAACATAATAATTGGTGATTATACCTTTTTGTATTTATCAAGCTTGTTCTTATTGGCCTGTTTGGAAGCCAAGCCCTGTAGAGACATATCACTCTGAGGAAGAGGCCATGAAATTGAGGTTTCATTCCAAAAGCAAAAACAATATCAAATTTTACATACTGTGACATCTCATTTTTAGCATGCTGTTGAGAGACCACTCAGAGCATAAAACAGTGTTCAGTATTTGGAACACTTACACAGCCTGTGTAACATGTTGAGTTCAGTGTATTCAGTGTGTGTCATACCTTTTCTATCATGCCACCGGCTATTGTGCTTCTGGGTGCTGTGCCATTACTGCAGGTCTTAGCAGTCGTCCTTTGTTCTCCCGCACAAAATTCACCTTTCCTATCACATAAACGAACCATCTCCAGACATGGTTTCCCTTTACTGTTTGCTGGAGTGTCTAAAAGGGTGAAAGTACAATGTTATAGTTGAGAGTTGGATCTACATGCCTTGCTTTAATTCCTCTTCATGAGGAATAAAAAAAAAGTGATAAGGAGCTTCCAGTCAAGCAAGACAAACTGCCTAGAATGGTTTGGGCTAGAATACTGTGGATGTGAATATGGATATGACAAGAATCTTGATACATATGGCATTGTCAGGCTGTTAAGAATGAACTTTTGAGTTTTTAGAACCTCTAAGGTCTGATGATACCATGAAGATAATGCAGGAATACTGGACCTGGTGTGACAGAAATTCTTTACAGTTTCTAATTTCCACCTACTTGATGGCTTTACAGCAGAGAGGGAACTGGCACTATGTACACTTCCTCCTGCACTATTGCTGATGAAGGTGGTGGACTCTGAAATCCTCATCCTGGCTGGAGTCACCATCTGGATTGGAAAATCAGAATGACTGTGTCTGTGAATCTTTACTTCTTAAATGGTCAATTTAAATGTGTCATTCAAATGATCACATATAAATATTTTATGTGTAATCCCTTTCACGTGAAGGCGATGGCACCATCACCTACAGAATGGATGTACAGAAATTCTGTTCCCTTGCTCTCTACGCCCCCTACAGGCCCCCCTGCATTTCAGCTGGTGATCTGAGTGCCAGGTGCACAATTTCACAGCAGAACTACAACCACCAATTGAACTTTTTGAGTGACATACTGTATTCATAATTTTTCATGAAGACATAACACATAGTGGTGTGTTGTTACAAATTATATTTATGAATTGACCACTGTTTATACAATACAAAACTCTTTTACCTGTATATGTGCAGACGATGCAGGTAAAAGGTACGGGACTGTATTCTTCTCACTTTCACCAAGGGAGACCTGGCTCTCTGGAACAACCTCCATAGAGAAAAGCATGCAGTACAAGCACAGAAACATCTCACAGCTGCAATGCAATGGTAATTTGCACTTACAAAGCTTTCAAAATGTTTAAAGCACTTCTGACACAATATCACATTAATGTAAAACTCATTACTAAGACCTGGCAACCACTAGCCCATATAATGTTTTCTTTGTAGCCATGTCGCAGTTACTGAACATAATTTACACCATATATTCAGACAATTTAATCTGAGCCTATCTCAAACCTGACTTGAGCCAATCACATAAATGGTTCACCTACCCCAACCATCACCAGTTCAATATAATTTGGTATCTGTAATGACCACATTAATCATTATAGCTGTATACTGAAAGCATTATGTTAACAGACCATTTCTTACCTGGGAGTTGTTCTCTTCCATTATGATTTTAACTGTAGTCTTCACCACAGATGTGCCCATCTTTCCTACAAAGCCCTGACAGGAAGAGCATGTAAATCTTCAAACTGATAAAAACTGAAACAAACAAGGTAGTGTTTAATCACTATGAACTGTTAAAACTAAAAAAAAACGAATTAAGCCAAGTGTCAAAACCTTTTTTTCACAGAATGCCAAGTTCTTCTCAATGCCATTATTGTACCTCTCACTTTTACTTCTTATGTATCTCTGTGTAACAAAAAAAAAAAACATATAAATATTCCTACAGACATTGTGACCAAAAGGTTGGAATGAATAAGCCATGGCCTACTTTGTTTTTGCTGTGTCCGTAGACACTACGAGCAGCCTGCAGGATGTCCAGGGAGGAGCTGAAGTGGATGGTAAGATTCGATCCTTCGACTCCACCAACGACCACCACCTCGGACAGTTTTAATTGCAATACCTTTCTCTTGCCCTCCTCTATAGATAAAAAACCCATTGTATTATACAGTAGTCACAAACACACACACACAAGCAAATACTTAAAGGATACACCTGGCTTCGATTACCTGTCACAGTGTAACTTTGGACTTCATTCTCACTGATACATATTGTTTCCCACTGTCCCTCCTACATGAAGGAGAAACCACTCTACGTTAGACTGTAACAGATGTCTCCTGTTGATCATGTAAATATAATTAAAGTTATGCAGCACTTTTCAAATAGACTATTAATCTTGAGGTACCTGCATCTCTCCATCAGCCAAAGAGAAGTAAAAGGAGATGCTGTGGCTGCCAAGGTTGAAGTCGATCCAGAATTCGTCCAGCTTCTCATCCGCTGGCATCAGCAGCTGACAACATAACCACAAGCCTTTCAACACACCTACTAATAAATTCAGGAGTGCGTGATGGATTGTGATGTTCCACCTTACATGCAGTTAATTGTATGAAGAAGGCAAAAGCATCTTTCTAAATTATTGTCTTCTTGTACTGAATGTGCAGTCAGGCCCAGACAGAGAGAATCTGTACTTGTTTCTATGTAACATTGGACATTCACTAATGTTTTAGTTTCAAATTCTGTTTTTTTTCTCTCACATTACTTGATTCATAGAAATCCTGTTGATACTGACCTCATACTTGTCCAGATAAACCTCCAAACAAGGGTAGGAATAGACTCTACAGTACAGAGAGAACATCGATATTCAGTCATGTGCATCTGTCTTCAGCAATGTATGTTCCCTACCTTTGTCAAGAACCCACAAATACTGCATATATTTAGAGGATTTAATAAAACAGAATTAAACATTTCAGTCTAGGAATTCTTGTTATCACTAGGCGAAGAGGTAGAACTATAAACAAAACAGTCATTCTTATTCATTCTATCACTGTGTGAGAGTCATGGGTGTGAAATAGCAGTTGAATTGAAATATCCCTCTTTTGAACGCCAACCCTAATGACCCCTCATGTTCCCCAGATCATGTCTTAGGAAACACTGAGGTACGATATGTATGTACCTCCTCCTGTCTCCCTGCATCCCATTCACCAAGTTCAGAAACTTGCGACAATCCTGAAATCACACATATTTGTTGTGTTACACATTTACTGTGTTACACATTTATATGTAATTGCCACAGTAGTGCACCAAAATGTAAATGCTAATGAGATTAATTGCATGATTTTACCGTCTCAAACTCTGCATCACGGATCTTGGCAAAGGCACTGGCCACATGCTCCATGCTGAACCACCGATCTGCCATCTCCTTCCTTTGGTCAGGAGTGGCCATTCTGCACAGTGCTTCCATCAGGGCTGTCTGCAAGTCATAATCTGACACAAACAGACTGTATTGTAAATTTTTTGTGTCTACGTATGGTTCTGGGTAAAGAAAAGAGAGATTGTATTACTCATAAAACACTTACCACCACCCTCCAATATCTGACCAGCCACTTTGATCCTGTAGAAATATGAAAAATCAAAAGTTCAACAGTGTGTGGATATTGTGAAAAATGAGTAATAATATTCCTTGCTATGAGGAAACTACCAAGACATACATGATGTCTGAGGCCTCCTGTGATGTTAGGATCTTCCTCTCTTTCTTAAGCTCCGTTGGGATTTTGTCCAGAATTAAGTTGAATTTACGAATTGCCTGTTAGAACATTATCAGCAAGTTCATTTAAGAAACACCTGACTCACAGTTTTAATGGTACTCAAACAATGTAGTTAATAAAATCATTTCCAACCTCTTTCCGGATCAGGATGTAGATTCTGGGGTCCACTCCCAATTGACCAAGAGCATACAGGAAGGATTCTGTGATTTTGTATGTTCCTGTAAACAACATACATGGGTAATTCTCTGAATAGAGACAACATTTTCTCTTAAATACTAAGATTCATCATGAAAGTATGGAAATTTAAGCTTTGATATGTTTTTTTTTTCTTCTATGCTAAATGCTAATTATCTTTCACCTAAATATGTTTCTCCAATCTTTCTGTCCATGAGGAACACAATTACCTCAAAACAATGTTAATAGCAAACGATTTGACAGTGCTCTCAGGCAACTGGGATAGTTGGATCAGAATCACACATTTAGACTCTAGTGTGAGGACAATCTAACACTCTCCCTAACTGTGGAAGAAACCAAGAACTCTCAAATAATACTGCAACTTTAAGATTGCACTTTGTTGGATAAATAATGAAGTTTACGCATGTTAGTTACAATTTCCACCTAGATCCCAAAAAAGACAAACTGAAGATGAAACACACATACTGAGGATTGAATACAAATAAAGAAAAAATGTATAAGCGTACCCTCTTTGCATGCTTCATGAACAACCTGTAACAGAGAGGGAAGAAAACAGTGTTACATTTTAGACACAAGCATGAATTTTTTATCATACAAAATCTGTTTTACTGTTAGACATTAGCTCACCGTTAGGGCATCAAAGAAGTCCTCAGAAAGGTTGTACAAAGGCTCATTCCACTGCGGGCCACACTGGATCCACAGTTTCCTACATTTCTCGAACCACTGCACCATGTGCATAAACCAGGTTCAATAAACAACTATGTACTTTTGCTTTATACAGCACTCACACACTGTGTCCCCATAAATATTAGATGTATACTTATCTTCTGGATCAGGCCTTGACATATTACTCCTGACAGCCCTTGACCGACGCCAGGTAGTTTCAGTTTTTCCCCACATTTGTAGACCACAGTAAGACCCAAACTGGCTGATTTGGAATCTTTCTGATCCAAGCACTACATAAACAGTGACATGGTTTCATTAAACCTACAAACATTAGGGAATCATGCCATGTTAGTTAGTGAGTGTGCTGGGCCGCATCTTACCCTGCAGACAAGTTTATCCAATTTGGAGAGAAACTGTTTGGAACATTTCATGAGGGTCACTTCATATATGTCCCTTTGCAAGAATACATCCAGTGCGTGGACATCCCCACTCTTTAACACCTCATCGATGACTTTCTCCAGCTGCGCATGAAAATGGTTAATCATACTTTACTTTTTACCGTTACAGTACTTCACCGACAAAAAATTAATAATGATTACTTTAAATGACAGTAATGTTGGTAAACTAGGTTGTTTAAGGATTGTATTCTCACCTGTGTGTCCTGACCCGGTGCCATTCTTCCTTACGAGGAACAGCTTTACTGCCACTTCGTCTTCAGAATGACTGTAAAGTAAAATTACAATCAACCTGTCAATCTTAACGCCATTTGAACAGGAATTATATATATATATATATAATATATATATATATATATATATATTATATATATATATATATATATATGTATATAAAGCTATAAAGCTGTAAAGCTTCCTGCTATAGGTGAAGGCCAACATAGCTGACAACCTCATCTCTCCATAATTTAAAGCTACTCCGGGACGGTTAGCTTGACATAACGCTAGCTAAAGTCAACTCTCCTAGCTAACACTACTTTTCGACCATAACCGTCAGTGGCCACTGAATAACTAAAATCGTTTGACTGAAATTATTTTAAACAGTTTTCAGATTTTAACGTTACTTACTGTACTGTTCTTCTAAAGTTATTTACTGTATTGTCAAATTTAGCACAAAACATGACAGAGCATGATACCGAATACGTTTTTGACAGTTTTTCATTGGCCCGGCTCGAAACGCGCGAAGTCTTTACGTTCATCACGCAAGCGCATGGCGGGACATCTAACGTACCACAGTCTCCTCTAGTGTCCTTGAATGAATGAGCCCCCTTAACTTTGCAAAACTCACCGGAACCTCTCAATCATCACTTGTTCTGGGAAAGGTGAAACATGTGAAACATGGCATATTTAACTGTCCAATTCTAGGTCGAATCTTCTATTTTTAAGGCAAGGCGTTTTGTACAACCTTTGAAGTTATTGTTTGATAAATTATTCGTAATGAAACGACAATATTACCACTTTTATTTCAATGAAATAATCACTTTTTACAGTTTACTATCCATTTCCATCTAACTACCATGCTGAGTTCTAATCTATTGTATTCAGTAGCAGTGTACTTCACAGCTGAATACAGATGTGCTGAATATGAAGCGAAATGAATATATTGATGAAATTTGGATTAGATATCTGAATGAAGATTTTTGCATTGTTTGTTCACATGCGTTATAAGTTTTAATGCTCAAGTAAATTTCCAATTTACCAAAAAGTGTCCCACTCAACCATAAGGTTGCACTATTGCAGGAGAGATCGACAGATGAAGTGTGTGATGGGGTGATTTCACTGCAAGTATGTTGACTAGGACCTGTTCAAATGAAAAGAAAACCACTTTAAAATATGACAAAATATAGTACAAAAAAAGGAACATGCCAGCAAAAATGCCATTCAGTTTAAGTTTAATGCTAATTCAAGGGAAAGAACTGAAATGTCAGCTTTGGTTTTTTATACAATAACTTAGTGTGGCCATTATGATTTGTTCTCAGGCTGAGATTTAGGAGGTGATGTATGTATGATGATGTAGCTGTGTGAGCACTGAGCAAATCTTTCTCTTGGCTTTTACACAGGCACAAAGGTCAAGTGTGCGGTGGTGACTGTCTAACAGTGGTCAGGATGAAAGAAAAAGGGGGAGGGTCTAATCAATTGAGACCCAATTACATTAGAGAAGCAATGTTAAAATAAAAAAAACAAAACAAAACAAAAACATTCCTTTACTTTTGTGGCCCAAAACTGTTTGTAGTTTCAGTAGTTAACTATACAAAAATGGCAAAAAAAAAAAAAAAGTAATTTATTTGGATCTCTGTGCACATATAAATGTAGTTAAACTACTAATGCAATTGCATGTAGTTCAATGCTCCTCAACACTGGACAAACCTCTACAGTATAAAGAGAGCTTTACCAAAGAATTGTTCCAATTTACCTCAAATCACCCAGTATTCCAATTGAGCTGAAAACATAAAAAAAACACATAATGTTTTAAATATTTTGTTACTAAGGATATGTTCTGAATAGTTTTTCAGACAGACTGATAAAAGAATGCTACAAGTCACAGAAGGTAGTAAAGGGTAGCTAGAAGACGAGGCAGGGCTTCAGCTTAATACGAATATAAACAATACAAATACATAATAATACAAGTTGAACATTATGTGCAATTTTGCTTTATTGTTTAACAAAATAAGCATTCATTTCTTATTCATTATAAGACATTAAAATTGTATCTATTGCATGGTGTTGACATTTGACAACATTTGACTCAAAAATAAACTCTGAATACAAAGCAAAATGGTTCATCAGCAGACCAAATTCCTGCATTATATAAAACTATTTTCTATGTCAAATATGCAGCTGGAAGAAAACTGAATTGCTGAATATTTATATCACTCAGTGGGTGTCATCACCATTGGTTGATTCTACATAAAAGTGCATTTTTTTATTTAAATAGCAAGGAAAAGTGAATATTACTTTGCATTTTTTAAAAAGAAATCACAAAAGTAAAACTGTGGCACTAAAGTGAGCATCAGGCATTAAGAGCACTAGTGTTTGTAATTTTCGCTCTGCCTAAGTTAACAGTTAACACTGAATCTGACCTGATTCAAAAATTCTTCTTTTAGCATTAGTCTAACATAATGAACATTATATGACAATGCAGTTATATATTTTGTAGCAGGTCTTTCTGACAACAGTCATAAAGTGCTTCTAATAGGTTTCTTCTATCTTTAGTCAGCATCCTAGATGAAGTGCACCATGCTATCCTCACATTCTTTGGGCACAGTGAGCTTGTAGTTATGGCAAACTAACTTATAATTCTCTCCATCATTGTTGTCCCAGTATTCAGCCCCACAGACTTTGTATTGAATGGCAAACTCTAGCTCTGCTCCTGGCTGCAGGAAAGGAGGAACAGGCAGGTGGAAACGAAATGTATCACAACTGAGTTTGTCCCCTCCCCCTTCCCAGGTCTTGGTGATGGTAGACACCCATGACGCCTTCGTTTCTGTGCAGCTCTTCCACTCTGTAAATGAATAGCGAGCTGTGACGTCCTTCTCAAAGTCCAAATTGATGACCTGGGTGATTCCAATAACACCCAGTTCAAAACACAAGACCCTCTCCAGACACACTTTCTGCTCACGGAGACGATGCAGGAATCCTGGCTGGTCGCCAGGTTGTTGGGAAAAAAACGGCTTCATGTATGGCAAAGAAATCTCCAAATGCCTTCCATCTGCCAACTCAGCACCCATCAACAATCTAAAGGTTACATGATGTGGTACAAAGGGATCCTCTCCAGATTTGAAAAGCCTGATGTCTTCCAGGTCGAGGCCCAAAGAGTCAACAAACCGCACACCAACATTTCTACATTGTTTCTTCTTCTGTGTGGTGGAAGGCAGAGAGTGTGACCGTTGTCGGATGATTGGTTTAGGCGTGGGTTCACAGGAGAGACTGCGGTGGTATTCCTTGTCTCTTAGTGGAGGGACTCTAGAGCTTGGGGGGCGGATTGGAATTGGCTTCTTCACTACATTAGGTTTGTCAGCTTGAAGTATTTCAGTCAAGTTGATAGTCATGCAGGGCCTTGAGACGCCGCTGTAAGAGCTGGACATCTGCTGCTCAGATTGTGAAGAGGGAATCTTTTGGTGTCCAATAAACCACCCTTTATCCATGTTCTGCAAGAACTGGTGACCTGCTTGCCTGTAAAGAAAGTTATGAAGCATAATTTATTAGTATTATGTCACATTCATCCCTAAAATGCACTTTAAGCAAATGCATAATGTCCCAGATATAACATTAGTGTACTCCTTTTTTACCTAAAACTGCATGGTGGTGTGCTGCAAATCTAAGAGAACAGCAATTTCGTTGTTGTAAATTTCTCAAGGCAGAAACAGTCACTGCAGGAAAGAGAGTGGGCGTGTACTCTGGGAGTACGTGCCTGGCCTGATGGCATACAGCTTATTTCTCTCTCTCTCTCTCCCTCTGTCTGAACTGTTGTAGGATTACTGAAATATGCTTCAACAAAATTAGACGCTGACATCATCTCACCATGTAAAGATATGAAGCGTTAGTTACGTCTAAGCTGCAGGGTGAAGCCTGCTTGATCCTCCATTTAAAGTAGTATTTATTAGAGCTGCGCGTTTCCGTGCGTCATGGAGTCTCCGCTATTGGCCGCAATCACATCATATGATCTGTAATCAGTAGCCACCTTCATAACTGTCCAGCACGTATATGTTTGTAGCGTGCTCTCGATGGAGATCTGCTAACATGCGCGCAGCAAGTAGGAAGCTGCAAACTGACCAGAACATGACTGACGTCGCGTGGGAGATAGAGTAACTCAAAATTAACAGCTACTGTTGTGCGCATTACTTTTAGCTTCTTTCTTCAAACACAGACGTGACTTTTCCCCTAACCGTACCAACTGTTTATAAGTAGTAAGTGAACTCATCAGAGAGCGTTCGCGTATTTCATTTGAAAGAGCGACTGGCATGTCTGCACTTCAAGTCCCATGATGCACCTCTGATGCTCACTTCGAGACTTCGACGCAAGCTGCGAGCCAGTCAGAGCAGCAGGTAAACAAACCAATCTGACTGGGACGGCGAGCCAAACAAAGCGTATGCGGTGTTTGACCGTCTTGAAATTTTAATGGCGAGAAAGATGACAGTCGAAGAACAGATACGTCTGCTTTCAACAATACATTAAAGTACTCGCTCAATTGTTTTTCAAACAGCGAGGCGGGTCGACGACAAACACAAGGACGAGTTTAACCTGCAGTGAAGAACCGACTGTCGACATCTGCGCATGATGCATTGCAGCACTTTTGCGAAAATGGGTGTTTTTAGCCTCATTCTCAGAATAGAGTATCTGATCCGAGATGTCGGTTGGGTTCTTTAGCTACCGTATCATTTCATTGTGCAGGACTCAAAACAACATCCCCCCTGGCGACCTGCAACATGGGGCCCATAATGCAGGAGCGCACAGCATCCACGACACTGAAACGCGTCGTTTCCAAAGAGAAGATTCGGGTAAAAAATACTGAAAATAGCGGACCAGTACCCAGGTATGCCTGATTTTACAGTGAATACGTTTAAGATGAAATTGAACTTGTCATGTTTTGTCTCAGACACTGGTTCGAGACGAGCCTGACAAACCGATATCATGTTTCCACAGTTCAAAGAAAGGTAACAAGATGAAGAAAGCAGTGGGGCAACTGAAAAATGGCCCACCAGGACCAGGTCAGGATAAGGACACAGTGACAACAATGCAGAAGGTGAGTGAATGGCAAAGTAGTAAAGCTAAAGAGAGACATTCTTCATAAAACTAACGATTTCTGCCTTGTTGTACAGGGTGCACAGTCAAAAGGTGGTAGGGTCAAATCTGGCACTACACGGAATACAAGCAAACTCTCCAGGTATGTGTGAAGAAGGGAGCACATTCTCACTGAATGCTTTTAATTCAAGTAGGCTACAGTAAATCCCCAAATCCCCAACAGCTTTTCCTTACACGTGTCTTTCTCTTTACAGCCCTGAAGAAGAAGGGGATTTGAGACCTCAATTCCGCAAACCCTCATCTGTGCAGAGGAAAGAGGAAAAGCAAGAAAATCAGCGGATGTCACAATGCAGCAACGAGCTACTGCCGAATCGTGGGGGGATGGGAAAAAATCGGCGAGCCCTCTCCCTGCCTCTCTCCCCAATATCAGGGCTACGACACATGCCAGCACACCCCCTAACACACTCCCCAGCCCCCACCCCAGAGGCACTACAGCAGCACTACAACCAGAAGGATGATGACACTGACAGTGCCAGTGATCTGTCAGATTCTGAGAGGCTGCCTGTGCTGCCCTCTCCCTGTACCCCTTGCACCCCTCCTCACCTCAACCTCCGGGCCGAGGTCATCAACACTAATGACTTTCCCCCAGACTTCCCAGGACCCCATGGGAATCTGGGTGATGACGATGAGAGTGAAAAACCCATCTATAGTTACCAAGACTTTCTGCCTCCTCCCTTCAACAGCTGGAGTCTGAGACAGCTGGCAGTGTTCCTTCATACAGAAGGCCGTGGCGCCCCCCGGCCCAAGCCTGTAGGGCCCTTAGAGAAGTACCTGGAGAGGTTGCTGCAGCTGGAGTGGCTCCAGATCCAAACAGTGCAAGCGGAGAGCAGCCGTCCCCCTGGGAGTCGTCCAAGGCCACAGGGTTTCCCCTCTGCTACAACAGCTCACCCACCCAGACCTCACACAGCTCCACCATCCCGACTCAACTCCCCTAAAGGGCTGCGCCAAAGCCAGAGAGCCTTCCCATTTGCACCTGTCAATAACCCCCCATCACCTGCCTCAACTCAGCACCACCTCTCCAGATTTCCAGTTTGCCCTCACTGTCACATTCGCTACCCGATGTGCAATGGAAGCTGCTCTGCCTATGCCTACCAACGCCACTCACGGCTTAGCCCACTGCTGGAGCGCAGAGCCAGACCTGGGGCGCCAGCGAAGCGGAGCAGCAGTGAGACCCGAGCACCCTCCACAGAAGGTAGGAGCCCAGGTGGACAAGGCGGGGGTGGAGGTGGAGCCCAGACCCCAGTTAGTCCATCAGCTGGAAGGAGTCATATCAGGCACATGCAGGCTGCAGGCAATGCCCGAAAGCAACCCCCGGAATCTAACCCAAACTGTAGAGGTCAGGTGAGGAAAAGCCGCGTCAGAGCTAACTCTGAGACAGATGTTAAAAAGGAGTCTGGTGGCATTAAAACAGCCGGTGTAGAGAAACGTGTTTTTGCTGCAAGTAAGAGAGAGGTCATCACCTCCAAGAGAGTGGAGAAGGACTGGCAGAGGACAGAGGCAGGGGGGCAGGCCTCTAAAACTGCCATGAAAAGAGCTGCTAAAGAGCCGCAGTCGCTCTCCAAAGCAACGCTTAGTAGTAAGCAGAATGGCAAAACAAAAAATGTGCACTTTGTTGCAAAGTAACCCCTATAGACCTTCAGCTTAGTGCTTTACTGAGTGGTTACTTAGGAGCTTGAACCTATGCTTGCTTTCTGTGTAATCTGTGTAATACTAACATGTCCTAACTGTCGTACAGCAGTCTAAATCAGTCAGTGTACAGCCTTGAAAACTGTCAGAAATTGAGCAGGTAGACTAGAGATAAAATAACATATATCACACCTAAATAGGACAGAATTATACACTCTGCATTTCATTTAAAATGTACAGTAATTATATAGTCAGACTGTGTTTTGACAGAAGATTCGTCATGAACAGAAACACTACTAGGACTCTAACAACACAGCTTCTATGTATTAAACTGAACTCTTGCACTGCAACACTGCATCTCTTAGTGTGCTACTAATGTTGAAGTAGGCAGAAAATAAGCATCCATTGTACTGTCGGACATCTTTCAGCATAAGTAATCCATAGTGAAGTTTAATACATCATTACATTTTAGTCATCAGATACAACTGTAGCCGTTACTAGTGGAGTTGATGTAGGAATGTATTTGTTTTCATTGCTCTTACTTTACTTGATGTTGCTTTTTATCTTTTCTTTGGTGCCTCATGTTTTAAGACACATGTTCAGTTAAAGCATTTTTGGCTGAAAAGAAGGAGGTGCAATAAGTGGTAGTGTACTCAGTAATGTCATTTATTCCAGATATATTTGTGCAATGGATTTACATTTTTGGTTACAAGGGCTTTTCATGTTTGAACAGCTTGAATTGTAGTCTGATAATAAACTGTATTTTGCATAGAGCTGAGCTCTTTATATCATTGAAGATGGTGTAATGTTTGCTAAGAATGTAAATGCATATTTTTCCAAATTTTATATACCATAGTTATATTTATGAAAAGTGTTGTGGCTGACATGTATTCATCATTGTCATTGTTATGTTTAAATTATCATGCACAAAAAGAAAACATTTAGTAAAAGAGCTGAATGTAACTTTATGTCTACTGATGCTGTACCATTGGTCATTCTGAGGATTCAGTGGAATTTCAACACATCATAGCTGTTAGGCTTTAACAACATTTAAAGTCTGCAGAACACTGTGTTTACATTAGTGTCTTATGTGTTTCTTGTGATGTACTACGTGCAAATGATTCATGAAAACACTTCATCAATGTAAATGATGTGATATGTATTCAGATTGCACCTCTTTACTTAATATTCATGTAAAGTATCAAAGCCATAGATAAGGGGCCAGGAGTGGCAATGTTATTATTTATGTGTACACTATGTTGACAGGCACGCAGAAAGATTGTGGTACGTATTTTCTCAATGTTGAATGCAAGTATTTGTAAGGCATAGAAATAAATGTTTTGCACACAAGGGACATTATCTGTTGGTCATTCTCAGGAGCACCTTAAGAGAATTTACAGAACTCACAACTGTCTTTATTACTGACACACTGCTAAAATCCCAAGCATAACTAGCTAGACTCATGGTCATTAAATCATGCAAACTACTGCATTAACTAGCAAAACACTTTGATGCCAGAATACTTCTCTTTGAAGAAGCAATTAAGTATGACAAGGTTTGCAGTAGTTTTAAGAAAATGTCTTTTTCATTACATTGCATATTGAGATTTTAACCAAGGTTGGATCATCATAGAAACTAATTAAGCAAGTATAGCTAATGTTTAAAAAAAATTATAATTATGTTAATTAGAGCCTGTCTACTCCCAAAAACACACACCTACAAGCTGCCATTATGACAAAGTTTTGCACACCAACTACTAGGGTACAGGATGTAGTAATCAGGAGCGTGATTCCATCTTCTTCTGGCCTGGAAATGGTTTAAGTAGTCGGCGAAGCTGCTTCTCTCTGTCATTCACACACCCTGCAACAAAGAACAAGCATATATTTGCAGTAATTAGTAATACTAGTAATGATAAAGGCTTTTCCACATATCCACATGATCAAATACCATAGTCTTAACTGCATGTATACTTAAGGATATTTGTCAGAACTTTACATGCACTTTTTTTATCTCGAAAACAGGGGCTTTTGTTTCCTCAAAAAAAGTTTTCCCAGTTTGATTACCTAAATGTGTGTTGGCAGTGAAACATGAACTGGCAAATGTTTCTAGGTTGACATCCTCTCTATAGACTGGCCCATCGTTCCACATCAGATCATAGCCACCCACTCTTTTCTCCTTGCCCGTCAGCCTAATGAGGAAAAACAAAGTTAATTAGAACCCAGCAGCAGTGTGAAAGAGAGAGAAAAGAGGAACTCATCTTTTTGTTGATTACCATTCACCTTGTGATCTGAGGAGAATTGTTTATTGTTGCTATTGTTATAAAGTTTTTCTTAAAGGTCTTCACTTTCAAATATGCCATGAATGAGCTCAAAAGATTAGGCTTCCAAATTTTTACAAATTAGTGAATATCAATAAAGAATGTGATGTCTATAATGAATAGAGACACAGACAAAGTTAAACACTTGGTGAGAAAGAGGCCTTTACCTTCCCTCCATATCAACAACATTCAAAGTGTCTTCCAGCAGTCTGCACTTCATCTCGTAATCCTCTTGACTACTGGGCGTGTGTGACGGAGAGGCATTCACCTCAATTAACCACCTGCAAAGAGATTGAAGGTGATAACATTCACCAAACATTTACATACCATTTTCAGCTGGCATTAGACCGATGAACGAGAAGTATGATAAAAGATTGTATGTTAGGCACATCTAAGTGAATGAATGTTACAATATATGCAATGGAGACAAACACTGTCATTAGTGTGTGTGTTATTTACAGTGGGATTATTGCACACCTGTCAGTTTTTCAGATATGCTGTGGAGAGTTGTCTTTCACACATGGTTGTTTGTGGCAGATTTACAGCTTTGTTTTGAAGCATCCATGATGGCAAGTCACGTAATGTGTGCTGTGTTTGCTTGTCTGTGCATGTGTTTCTCTCTGCTTATTTGTGAGCATGCATGCCTTAGTAGTGCATGTTTACAAGTGAAAATGTATACTGAGTGATGCCCCTTATTGACTTGTGTACACGATATGTGTGAGCACTTACGGTTTGAGGTTCTGATCCAGTAGAATGTCATACCCGTAGAGCTCAAAGCAGTGTTTATCATTTATAATGACCTTTTGTACACTCTGTAGACTGCGAACAAAGATGTTATCCATCTCTTTAAACAGGGTTTCTACCATCTCTCTACCATGTTTGGCAGTCAGGTATCTTCGAAGCTGCTGCATCTGCCACTTACACCCCTATAAAACAATGCAGCAAAAAAAGAAGAGATAGAATTAGTTAAATATAACACAATCTATCACCTATTCTTTGAGGTTCTTGAATTACACACCTTTTCAGGATCATAGTCAGGTGCTGTCTTTTGAACAGCCACATTGGTGAGATGCATATCTGAGAAGAAGCACTAAGGAGAATTTGGGAACTTAAATGATGCAATCATGCCTTCCGCAGGGATGTGGATGAAAGCGACAAAATTAGGAATAACAGCCTCAGAAATTAGGTCAAACCGGGCTATTTAAAACTGACTTTGCTTGAATATTTCATTAGACAAAGGCTCAACTTGTTAAGGGAATTGTTGGTACTAAAAATTCAGAATCAAACTATCACATAGTGTTACAACACTCAAATAAATGGTGACAAAATGTTACAACACCAAAAAACAGATACACTTGTCATCAATACTGCTAAGAGAGAAGCGGGTGCTTGAGAAGCGGCCAAAGCCATCTCGATACAGCCAGGCCTTCAAGGGAACATACTGAAACACACATGCACACAAGCACACGTAGTCATATATGGAAGCAGAGAAAAATACAATCTGTATGAAATATTGTCATTTACAATGTTCAGTACGTACTGATGTGACCAGCACATAGACCCTCAGATCAAATTTCCTGCCTGTGAAGAAAAAATAAAAATAAAACTGAACTACAACATTTGACAAATGTCCAGAATGAGATTTACAACAACATGCATTTTCTATTCAGTTTATTACCATTAATTAGGTAGGGGTTCTCGATGTAGCGTTGTGCCACATAGCTTTCCACTTGAGCTGCATCCTTCTGTTCCTCTGAGCGGGTGCCATCCTGTGGGAGAACACTATCATCTATCTGAATATGTGTGTGTGTGTGTGTGTGTGTGTGTGTGTGTGT